CTACAGACTGAATTCACAGTACATTCAACAAAATTGATAAATGAAGTGCCTTTTTCTTGTGAGACTGTTTCATGGCAGCCAGTTTGTAATGGACTATGCTTTCTGCTGGGATTTAAAAACCATGCAATTTAACTATGAAACCCAATAACCTAGCCTCTTGGTTTCCTGTATTGCACAACTAAAATCCACTTGTCTGCTGCCTTCTGTTTAGAACGAGGGAGCAGTTTTTTCTCTCCCACGTGCAAACTTGAGTCCCTGTTCCTTTTGACACAGTCCACTGAGTGTATCTGGGTGGTGGTGCGTTTCCCTTGGACCTTCAGGTATCAATGGGAGGTTCCCGGCTAATACTCTAGTGAACTGGAAGCTCTGGGAGAGCCTCTATTTTTTTTTATTTTTTTTTTATTTTGTCAACACATTTCTAGTTTTTTGAAAACACATGCACTTCTCTTATCTCACAAACAACATTGTGACCAAACTATTTTTGCTGTCCTTGCATAGTCACAGGTTGGACTGAGTGACCCTGGAGACTGCTTTTGAGGCAAGAAAGGATTTCAGTCCTGTGAAATGGGCTCAGAACCACCAGCAAAACAGCTGGGAAACACTTGTGCTGCAGCTGCTTGTTTGTGGATAAACAGAGGAACTCAGTTTGCAGAATAGATGCCCAGCACTCAATGGACTACGTTTTTGAGCTTGTCTTGGATATTTAAAGTTTGTGGGGAAGGAAACCTGGCACGGTTTCACACTAAGCATAGTAGAAATGTCTGGTGTTTAAAGTGGTACTAATACAGCATCACTAAGTAGCTTCCTAAAAGCTGTCATACAGATGACCAATGACTTGTACAATTTCCTTTTTTATGTAGCCTGTGTACTCTAAATCTCTGTTCGTAATACAGGGTGTCTTGTAGATGGAATGCAGTAGCTGACATATCCTTGGATGAATTTCCCTGACATCGGGTTCATGGCAGGGTTAGATATTAGACACTTTCACTTACCTGGTTTTATTGAAATGTGAAAGACAGGGTCATTGGAAAGCCTATGGATAGCTGAAAGCAGAACTCTGAAACTTGTCATACCCCCTGTGACCTGGTCAAGTCTTAAAGCAATGGTATTTTTAATGGCATTTTTTGTTTGTCTGGAGTCCATTGTAAAAAAAAAAAAAAAAAAAAAATGTATCTTCCCCCAATATTCATTATTTCATTGTGTAACAGTTCCTTGTAATAAAACTCTGCATAACAAGATAATGGATCTGGATCATGGACTGTAAACATCCATTTTATAGCAGTTGCTTTTCTGGCACAAGAAATGACTAGTACAGGCAGAAAAATCTTTGTCTTTTTGTGTACTTTTGAAGTTGGAAGAAAAACTTCTCTTATGGGAGTTCAGAGTAAGACCTAACTAATCACAGTTGAAGATAAACTGTTTCATACCTGCAAGACAGAGTACAGAAGATGTAACAACCCTAGGTGCATATTGTACTAATCTTAACTGCTTGTTTCTAAGAGGTCTGATACAGGCTTGATGCCAACTTTCCTATTCTGCCGTAGTCTGGTCTGTCTATGAGTTTCTTCTTTTTACTTGTCCCTTTCCTACCCCTGCCTTGTATGTCATTTTTGCTTCAGCTGCACTATATATGAGTTGAGAGTTCACTGAAAGAAAATGGAAAGTGACTGCTGTAACAGGGAAGGTCATATGAGCATATTCAAGAGCGTCTTGCATAAAGGGAGGCTCTAGAGTTACTGTAAAACTAGCCAAAAGTAATTTGCTAGATCATGACAGTTCTGATAAATACTGACACTACTGAATTTCATAGAAGATGGTTTGTTTAGCACTGATGCTTTGCTTTGCTGCATATGCAACTATTCAGAACTGCCTGCTGTCCTGGCAACTGGTGAAGGGGTGTGGGTGCATGTCCCTCCCCCTCTTCCCCCAAGTCTGCCTTACCTTGCAAACATGGTTGGAAACTTCACTGGAGCCCTTAGCTACAGAGTACTGCTTTCCCAGCCAGGATCATGTAAACTTTTTTACATGCTGCAATTCAAATGTTTAGCTAGACCAGGACTTTTTAGCCCATTTACTGCAAACATGTTACTATTTGCTGTAAATAAATATCTAAAAGTGAATAGTCTTAACTGGCCTTTTGAATGACAGTTCCAGCCTTGCAGTGGCTTGTCTTGCTCCTAAATGCCAAAACCAGCTCCTCTGCCTTGAGCAAACAGCTAGGTGCAAGCTTTTCAGAAAAGAAAAGCTGCTGTTATGCAGACTGGTTGTGGCACTTTGCCTGTTATTGCAGTGAGGAAAAGCATTCTCCTCTCTCACTGCCAGCAAGCACTACAAGGCTTTATGTTAAACCTCAAGTGCTCTTTAATGTCTTCTACTTCCTTTTCAAGTTTGATTCATTTAGTCTTAAGTTCAATGAGTTTGGGCTGCTCCAGGTCACTGACCTGAGTTCATGGCTGTGGGTGGAGACACTGCACCGTGGTGGCAGTTTGCAGCCTGAGCCACGAGGACATGGATTTCATCTTCAGCACAGCAATTTGTTTCTTGTACAAGCAGGAGGAAGACAGTCTTCTAGCTCAGACTTGGCTTGAAAAAATTACTTATTGATTCTTTTAGCAGACTTTCCAGGTGCAAGAGCTAACAGGAAGGCAGAGAAGGGGATCAAGAAAACAATGTCCATATCCCACAACATTAAAGTAAAAGGGCTAGCTTTGCCTATGAAGGTGGTGATTAGGTACTTATTTCAATCTCACTTCCGAAAGACTTCTTTGCCATTTGATTTATTTAGTTTTCTACACTGTCCTAGGTAGCAACTCAACATGTCTTTAGCTTCAACGTATGTTCCTGTAACTTCCAAATCTAGCAGCATATCACTTTAAAACATCACATCGCTCCTTTCTTGATTGTTATGGGGGAAGATAATAGAGCAATTCTTCTGGTGCAAAACACTCTGCAAGCCCCCACCATCAGAATGTTTTTGCCACATAGCTGTGCAATATGTGGCACCCTAGTCCTATCTGACACCATGTACTGCAGGTTCAGGTGGTGCCTGTGCTGCTACCTTGCAGTATAGGGGGTGGATTTTGAACCTAGGGAGCTCCTGGGGTCTAAAAAAGAATGCACAGGAAAAGGAGGGTCACACACATGGAGGCAGTGCACACTGCCCAAAACCAGAGCTACACTGGTTGCTGGCAGACTGCTACCTCCAGCAGCTGCACCTTCCCCAGCCTCCCCTACCCCACCTGAGGTAATCTGCTGTGCACCAGAAGGTGCATGGCCCAGGTGTTCCCCAGGGGGACACAGTAGTGGCACAAAGTGTTTATCTTGCAAATTAGGTGTGGGCATTTGCACACCTAACATGGTATTTGCTAATACTGTACAGTACTCTTAAAAAGATCTTGCAGTCTGCTGCGTACCCCCTCCCTCCTCCATTGAATCATTGACCAAGGAATTATTTCTTTCTTTTCCAAGTTGAGAGGTAGAGCATGAAATGTGAACTCCATTAAGTCAAAGGTGTCAAACATGGCCTACAGACTAAATCCAGGCTACCAGCAGGCCACTGGATGTTGGAGGTAAGGGGGTAGCAGGGCCAGGGTGAGTGGTTGCCTCGGAACTGAAAGCCCTCAGGCTATGGCAGGTACTGGCACCAGTAGCAGCAGGACAAGGGAGGGCTCACATAGCCTCAGCCACTGCCATTACTGCAACTCCAGTTCTTTGGCTAACAGGCCCATCTGCCACGTGCTTTGCACCCGAGCTGTCGCCACAGCATGCCCTGTGGTCTGTGCCAGCACCACTGTATACCCTGTGCTTCATGCTGCTGCTGTGCATCCTGTGCCAGAGGTGGAGCATGCACCTTGTGCCCCATGCTCTATGCCAGCAGCCATGGCACAAGAACATCAGTGGCAGCAGCTCTAGCTCCAGCAAGGGGCACTGGCAGACAATGGGAACTAAAGATACTGGGACTATCTTGTGGCCTGGGCTGGATCCAGCCTGCATGCAGTCTTGTGGTCCAGATCTGGCCCATAGCTGGAGGCAAGTTTGACAGCCCAGCACAAAGTATGTGGTAGAGCCTAGCTCTGTAAACTGCCAGTAATTGGTCTCCTTGGGCACCTATACCCATACAACAAGGCAGCTCATCACACCACATCAGAGCAGACTCAAGTCTGCTGGAGCATGGCAATTACTGCACTCCAGTATCACATGTATTAGTGTCCCTGTGCTGAAAAATGGCAGCGGGGGCATTTTAACTAAAGCTCGTTCAATAAGCTTTAGCTAAAGCACTCCCATCGCCATTTTTCAGTGTGGGGACACTGATATGTGACATTCCAAGTGCTTTACTTAGAGCAGCTTTCAAAACCACTCTAATTAAAGCAGTGCCCTCCCTCCCCACAAGCATGTGTATAAACACCCCTTGTTCCTGTCTTTACCGACCGCAGGACAGCATAGTAAATACATCTCACTTTAAGAGAATTGATCCCATGGAGACCACTCCACCCAACCAGCTGGGTAATAGCTGGGCTGGAGGTAAAGTAGGTTTGTGGTGAGATTGCAGCTGCAGTGAGTCTGTATGCTGGCTTCACTATCTAAAGACGTGCATTCATAACTGTCTAGCACTTGAGTTTTGCACAGAAACAGCATCATCTGTGCTGGTATCTTTGACAATCGATTAAGTTATTGAGCTAAGCAAAAGTAATGCTTCAAACCCACAACTACGCTGGACGCAGGGTGGGAATTGCGACTGAGGGTCCCCATCTGCCTACAAACATGATGCCATAAGCAGGGGTAATGAAAAAAGATTTTACGGCAATACAATTACCTTGCTTATCTGTGGCTTGCTTTTGTGGTCCAGCTGAAGTGAGCAGTGCCATGGTGTTGTCAGTAAGGAGTCACAGAACTTGACTGAGGATAGCTTAAGACACACGAACTTTAAACTGCTCTGCAACATTTCTCTTGTTTAGCCTGCAGTGAAAAACACTAAAGAAGCAATGCAAATAAGGCCTCATCCAGTGTACCTTCTGCACTTGATAAGCACTGCTTTTGTATAACTGCACAGGACACTGGATGCCAAATAGCATGTTTGTGAAAGAGACCTCCCACACACAAGGCCTTGTCCTGAGCCATGGAGGTGATGGTGCTGCTGACAGAATGCAAGTGAGCACTGCAAACGATTCTACTGCAAAACTCCTGCTTTGGGGGTAGTGGGGAGGAGTTTCATTTGCATGTTTCTGTAAGTTAAATGAGCTCCCAGTGTACTGATGTGCTGGTTAATTCCTTTGAATGCAGCACAGTCCTTCCATAGCTACAGTTCCACGCTTCTGTTTTTCCTTGCATAACCAAGAGTAACCGTTTCTAAATATGGATTCGATGGCAAATTCCTAACATTTGCTTCCAACCAGTGAGAAACAATGTTGAAACAAATATGGAAGTAGGAGTCTTCCTCTTTCACCACGTATTTTTCATTCATACACCCTGTATAGTGTGGTTCTTTCATTTATTTGCACATGCTTATACAAACTGGTTTGTGATCCATATTTTTAAGGTACAAGAAAATTCAAAGTGCTTTTTGTGCCCTTAGCCCTTTCAAACTTGTTTCACTTCGGGGGCCAAAAAGCTTATTTTAACTCAGTCTGTTAGAGCACACCAGCCTGCTAGTGGATGGCACCCTTCATATTCTTGCAAGTGAGGATTGTCTAAGTCACCTCTGTCCTTATGCTCACTGTAATCCAGTTGCCCAGAAGGAGGCCCAGTAGTTCGCACACACACACAATAACTGTCTTTGGATCCAGGCTTGTAAAACTTCCTCGGTACACCGATCCAGTCTCTCTTCACTCCTCCACTAAAAAAGATCAGATGCAAGTAACAGCTTATTTCTCACTCAGTTAATTGAACTAAGAACCCCTAGTGGAAGTGTTTTCCAACCTACAGAGAACTATACAATTAGATACTGTACTTCAGCGAATAGACTGGGATCAGTTATGGGAAAGCTGGAGCCTGAAACAGAGACCAGCCCGTGTAAGCAATAGCCAGAAACTGCCTGGTGCAGTTTTTTTTGGCCACAGTGAGTAGCTCAACAAGCAGTAGCTTGTTGCCTAGAGCTTTTCAAACCAGTTTCACTGTATCCTCATGCCCTTCTGAGAGCAATTTGCTTAGTTAAAAGTCTCGGGACTGCATGTTTTTTTGTCCTGACAATTACTTCCTCCACCCCAATGCTTTGTGACTAAGAACAGCTTTTATATACACTTTGCTCTATAGTAACAACTCTGAATGAAAAAAAAGAGACACATTTTTAACTGACTCCCTATCCCATTACTGTATCGCATCTTACTGGGCATCTTGCAGCAGCAACATTAAGCTCAATTCCTTTACTGCTGGTGTGTTTATTTTTTTATACTAGGAGCCAAAGGTATTGAATATTATGCAGCACCAGGTCCCAGACAATGTACCCAAAGGGCAGCACTATGGACCTCAGCCCAGCCACACCCTCACACATGCTTATCTGTCAGGCATGCAAGCAGTTCCACTGAACTCAGTGGCACTAGTCATGCTGAAAGTTAAGTACATTTTAGTGCCCCATTGGATCATGACCCTGAGGGCACTGGCACCATTTTTCTGGGTGTATTGCTTTGTTTTTTTTTAACTGAAGTACAGCTTTTAAAAGCTGTATACACGTTCCTGTAATGAGAGGCACGTTGTTAGGATACAAGGAATACTGGCTGCATTGCAACCCCATTGGCTTCAAAGGGAATCTTCCCAGACGCAGACTCCAACTGACATTCACTATATTGGTAAAGCAGCTGGAATACGGTCCCATTCATTTAATGCAGTGCCTCCCTCTGTGTGGGAACAGTTGTCTGTGTAGGCACAATACACGCACACGTCCCACACTGGTTAGCAGAAGCAGCTGCTCATATGCCTTGTTGCGGGATCTTAACCAGCATTTGTGGTTTCTGAAGATAACATTTTGCAGCCTGTGTCAATGCTGACTCACTTCTGAACCATTCCATTCAAGCCAGGCATGCCAAAGCAACTAAGCAAGCTCACCATACTACGCAAGCTAGCCAGCTCTGGCAACACTCTGAGAGCCACATATTATTCACAAGGTTGTCTCATTTCTAAGACAGGGATAACAGGTGAAGTAGTTCAATCATGGGCATGCACAAATACTAAACGATCACCTGTGACCTCAGCAGAAGCTCACTCTGTTCTATCTGTGCTGCAGCTATCATCAGCTTCTCGCTCAGCACAGGTCAGATGAGATGGGATGTTCAGAGGTATTTTGCTCTACACGGTCTACAACAAGGACGAAGACCAGATTCACCTTTGTTTGGAACACCAGAATCTGCTGCCACCATTTGAGCTCCATTCAGAGTTGCAAGGTGGAAATTGCTGGTTCTCCTCTTCACTTTGTGCCTTAAGCTTCAAGCCTTCTTCAATGAGGGCCTCTGCTTGTTTCAGAGCCTCTGTGGGTGCCCCGTTCTCATCATAGAACCTTCCCACCAGTTTGCCTGTGGAGAGAGGAGAGGTAAGGGGAGGAGCAAAGAAGAGTCATTAAGGCCACTACAGTTTTGGCAAAAAGAGGGAGTTAACATGATTTTTTTGAAGCAAAAGAAACTCTGCAAGAGCAGCACATCTGACAAAGGCAGGTCTGCTATTTTGATAATGTCCTTAAGCAGCCACAACCCATCTGTCCCTGGCTCTCAAAACATTTTGCCAACAGTAACGCACGCAGGTGGTAAAGGCTTAATTCACCGTCTCAGAAATCAGGATATGGAAACAGACAAAAGCATTAAAACAACCCAAGGGCACAGAATTGATGGCAACAATTCTGACTCCAAGTGCTCTAACTAGGGGAAACATTGCCTCCCTCACTACGCCATGTTTTTCCCAACACTACTCCTGTCAAGCCCGCAGACTACAAATCAGACTCACTGTTTGCATTTTGCAGTTCGTCCCACCTACTTCACAAGAGCAAATACTTTTCTCCCCTCATTACTGCGATACTTTAAAAAAAAACAACAACACAATTACTTGGCTAACATGCAGTGAATAAGGTGGCTGTCTATGTCAAGCCTGCCAACAGTTTGACACGCACCTAATTTTCAGAACAGGGATTACAGGTATTTAGAAGCCATCAGTCATGCTTGTCCATTATCAAGCATGAGAGAACGTGGGCAGGCCAGAGCCAAGAGACCGCTACTTTTAAAAGGCTGGATGGAGCAGCTAGTCCGTGCTCTCAGGTTTTTAGCCACAGCTCATTCACCTGGAAGGAAAGGTCAAGTCTTCTGCCCAGCTATGGCATTTCCAGCCACGGGTGCCCAACTCATAGATTTCACAGACGTTAGGGCTGGAAGGGACCTCGTAAGATCAGGTCCAGCCACCTGCCCAAGGGGCAGGAAGTCACCTGGGGTCAAAGGATCCCAGCAAGATAAGCGTCCAAATGTTTCTCAAAGGTGTCCAGAGTAGGTGCTTGCACCACTTCTTGGAGGAGTCTATGCCAGGCCTTGAGGGGCTCAGACAGTAGAGACATTTTTCCTTATGTCCAGCCTGAAACAACTGTCTGCAACCACTGGACCTCATCTTCCCTTGGGGTGCCCTGGTGAACAGGCGCTCCCCCAGATCCCGATGCACCCCTCTCATGTTCTTACAGGCTGCCACCAGGTCACCCCTGAGTCCTGGTTTGAGTCTGTGACCTTTTCCTGATCCCAATTTAAAAAGCTGCTGTGAGGAATCAGCTCGGCTGAAGGGATCACCCAGGCCTGGACGCACCTGCGCGACTCGGGCTTTCCCCATCCCGCGCCTGCGGAAAAGCGCCCTCCCCTACACAACTGGTCTGACCGTCTCCCCGTGCCAGGCGGCACCCCAGCAGCCCTCCCCGCAACACCCAGCACAGCCTGCGCTCGGGAAGGTTTTTGGCGCAGCCCCCAAAGCAGGCGCAGAGCTGGGGAAACGGTGCGAAAACCCTGCGGGCGCCGGGAACGTGTCCGGCTCTGCACGGCTCACGCTCGCCCGTGTCCCGAGGCAGCGGCACGGCCCTGAGCCCCAGCAGCTGCCCGGCCCTCGGCCCTCCGGTGCGGCCAGGCCCCGCACGCGCGCACCCAGCCACCCACCCACGAGGTCGTATTGCTGCTGGTAGAAGCGCAGCCAGCGGCGCAGCGCGGGCGCGTCCCGCGGCGGCAGCCCCGACACGTCGTCCACCAGCCCCCGCGCCGAGAAGTCTCCCGTCACGAAGGCCCGGGACGCGTCTCTGCCCGCCAGGCCGCTGTAGGCGCCGCCCGGCCCGTAGTGCTCGCGGCCGCGGTGCACGTCGAAGACCTGCCCCAGCACGGCCAGGTAGAGGCCGGGCGA